GATTGTGAGTTGATACAATCATCGATATTTGTTTGTTGTGGACTGTTAAGGTCGAAAATATTCTGAACATTGATATTCTGAGTTATTTGTAAATTCTGATAACAAGTATAAAAAGCAGGAGCTTGTGGTGTTATTATTGGTGGTAAAATATTGTATGTAGATACTGGTGACTGAAAAATGAAATTAAGTTGTATAAGAGTTATCTCCATAAACTGAATACAAGTAATCTAAGATTTTTTCAAAGAATATCAATAAGATTAGCAATCAATACTTTCTGATCGAGAAAGATTTAGAAAGAAAATGAATGAGTAAAAAACTTTTACAATAGATATAAACAAGTATCAATTCTTAATATAGTAAAGTAAGGATATCTAATTATATTACGAACAAATTAATATTTTATGGTATGTTACTTAGAGTTGAATAGAAATGTAACATACTGATATTGTATCAATTGAATACGATGGTGGAAGAATATTTTGAGATATCTGTAAATATAAAATATATTGACATTAGATGAGTGGCATTCTGTAATAAGAAGAGATCTTACATTGATATCTATGGTATTACTTACAGCTGGAGTTTCTACCGCTGTATTTGTTATGTCATCTGGATTATTGATCTAGAGCAAGAAAAAGATTTAAATCTAGATTTCATACTATTCTCACGATCAGAGGTGTGTCAATAGGATCTTTAGTGATTATTGTTTCTTGAGGACGAATTTGTAATAAAGGTGGCTTCTGATCTTCGGATATACTGCCGCTCACCTAGAAAGAAATATTTCCAAGTAATATTAAAATTTGTAATTAATATTATATTTATATCTTACATCAATATCAACATTAACTGTGTCGATAAGAGAATCAGATGGTACAGGAACATTCTAAAGAAAATAACAGCTTTCAATCATCAGTAATACATACAACTTACAATAGGTGATACGTCTTCTGTATCAGCGATCACTGATGAAGGTATAGTAATAATATCATCTTGTGGTTTCAAATTCTCTTTGATATTCTGAACAAGATAAAACATCTTATATTTAATATGACAAACTAAAGAATAATATATCTTACATTTAGTTGCGACGCACTATTTCCAGTATCAATCTATTAACAAAAACGTTAATTTAATATCAATTATTTTTCTAACAACATATTTCTGACTTACACTAACATCAACAGTAGATACAAGATTTCCCGATGGCTTCAAAGCATTTATAGGCACACTTGGATATATTACCTATCGAATAAAAAAAAGTATTTCATTCTGTTAAATTTCATCTTATCTTATACATACAGAAGCAGATGACGGTTTAGAATCTTCATTTACATTAACATCAATCTAAAACATAATACACATATCTTACCTAAGTAAACAAATTTTAAACATACATCAACATCAATTGTTCCAATATAGTCATCTAATACATAAGTAGGATTAATCACCTAATGAAATAAAAATTATTATCTTTAAATATTTTCTTTTTATACTTACAACAGGATGTGTATTTGTTGGTGCAACACAATAACCCTTTAATATTTCAGAATAATTATAGAAAACAACGAATAACTACTACATACCACATTTAATGTCACATCATTTGGTGGTAAATCATCATCAGTTGAATTAAGATGTACTTCAAAGAATTTAATCGGTTCTATTGTTAAAAAATTTTCTACAATAGGATTTTGTTGAACTTTAGAATGATATAGTTGACGTGCTCGTCCTGAATCATAATGAGCAATAACATATAGTAAATTAACATTGCTCGATGGAACCACAACAAATTGTAAATATATATAAATTTTCATTCGTATTAATAAAATATATCTTTTCATTTTAGGAAAATCAATCCCATCACTATCAGGATCAATATTTTTATTAATACGTTGATCGATTTTTAAATCCGGTGCACCAGCTACTCGAATCCATTCAACATTTGGATTACCATAAAGTGGAGCATCTATTGTACAATCTTGTGCTAATGTATCATCAATTTCACCCAGTGGTTCATTAGGATCATCGTCTTTTTAGTGGATAAAAAAAAGAATTATAAAAAATATTCGAGGAAGATTTTTCAAACCTGTTATAACATCCTACAAAAGTAAAAAGCATAATAAATAAATCAAGAAAAATATGAAAAGACATAAGACTTTCTTTCATCATATATTATTATATCGTAATAGTAGAAGGTGCTTTTAGAACCCATTCTTGATAAACGGAATTTTCAGTGTGGGTTATGATAAACTAAGACGAATATAATCATTGAATAACTCTAGACAACCTATTAATAATATTGAATTCTGTACTCAAAAAAATATTCATAACTGATGAAATATAATACACCTAAATAATCCATTCGAACCTTATCTGATAGAGAAATAAAAAATTAACCATACTCATCGTTACTCAGAAACCTGCTATTGTAACGATTGTATGAAGTTTCCAAATACACAGATTCTATATAAATTTTCAAGTCTCGTCCTCAATAGACTGATCACCATTTTGCATATTTAATAAGCTTAACGTTTTTTTTAAAGAAGATAACTTACCGTTGCGAAATCGACAGCTTCTACAGGCTACACAAGAAATTAATACATAAATTTTTTAGATTTAACAAATATTTTTCTTACTTGATCATCATTTGTCAAAGATTCCGGTTGATTTAAACTGAAACCGCCTGAAAATAAACAAAATAAACTACGACAGAACTGTATGTATCAAATCAGTAGATCATTTTGTATATTTACCATTATTATAATTTGTGCATTCAGGATCATCATACTCACTTTCAACAGCATCATCGACATCAATATCAACTTTTCCAATTTTTAAATCACGCGTTTTTCGTAAAAGAATATCTTTCTACAAAATTCTTCTTATAAAATCAAAAAAAAGACGATCTTTAAACTTTTACTTGAATAACAATAGGTAATTTAGCATGTTTTTTAATTGAATATTCTGGAAAATATGTAAAATTAGCTGTTGCTATTGGAAAAAGTTTTCCCGTATCATTTGAATTAATTATCATTGTTATAGATGGTTGTTCCGTAATATTCATTATTGGTAAAATACAACTATGAAATTGATTAGAATCCATGAATGAAATTGCTGGGGATTGACACCAAAATTCCATCGACATGTTATTAGATTGTACTTGTAATAATAATTCAACAGAACATAATTCCGATCGATTATGATTACAATGCATCGATAAATCTCTATTCCAATTTAATTTACTTGTAATTGTAAAATTTGTATTTCTTTTTTGTTTATCATTATAATGAAATATTATTTCAAACGGTGATGATTGTATAAATCTCACCAAATAGAGTAGAAAGATAAATATTAAATAAAAAGAAATCATTATTGAAATATCGATTATATGTACAATAATAAAATATCTAAGTTGTTAAACATATTATTTTCTTGTAACGAATAGAACAATATACAATATCAACACTATATGCTCGTTTTATTAGTCTGTATTTAATTAAAGAAAAATATTTAGTTTTATTTACTGATTCGAATTAAAAACATATGGTTGTTATATACATTTGTTCGTTATCAAATTAAAACATATGGATTAGATATTGATTTAATGAATACATTGTGATCTTACAAAGAATGTTATTCAAAATTTCTATCAAATAACGATTTAAACTGAAAACTATTGAATTACATATAATTAATTAATCATGTGTTGATGACGGGTTACATATTCATTGAAAATAGATATACATCAGCTAACTGACTGAGAAAATGTTAATAACAACTTTTCAAAATTGTATATACAGTAAAATCTCCCTAATGTGAACACCATCGAGACCACAGAAAAGTGTTCACGAAAGAGAGCTAATATATAACATGGCCTGAAATGGAAGAAATTTTAGAATATTTGCTTATGCTTTCATGAGTAGCTGTCTAATTCGAGTTCGAATATAAACGGATATTAAAAAAAGAAGAACTAATACCTATTTATAGGAATAGATTTAGTTTTAGATAAATCCTCCTAACCCACTTTGCCACCTTCTTCCACCCATCCTTCGGTCGTATATATGAATCGTATGCATCTTAGAGTAAAACTGAATCTATTTCTAAATTTCACCATTTATTTTCGAATTAGTAATGTGCAGTTAGATGTCCATTTATACTCGAATTCGAGTTAGGCAGCTCATCAAAACATATGAAAGAGGTCAAAAAAACATCTTATATATATTCACACTGGAGAGGTGACACTACCAGACGGGACCGAAAGAAAGCTTTCATTATTCAGAATAAAGAGATGTTCATACTGGAGAAATGCATTTCAAGCAAAAATCGCTCCATCAGACCTGATATCGTCTATAAAACAGAGGATTTCATTATCGAGAGGTTTTACTGTATAGACAATTCATAATTATTTTCAATTTTTTTATATAGTAACAGCTGAATTCGAAATTAACTATTTTCTTTTTTTATCTAATAAATATAAATATTTATATTCAAAGTAATCAAATATTTTAACAATAAAAAAAAACGAAATGGAAGATGTAAATAATACTTATCACATATATAGATATAATATTGTCGAATTAATCCAAATGAAATTTAAAAAAACAAACAAACAAAACTTATTAAAGAATTTGTAATCTACATTAGTAGACATACATTCTCACATATAGAAAAAAAAACAATGAAATCACCGATTTTTAAAAAGAGTTTAATGATAATGAACGTGGAAGACATTCCTTTTCATGCGAATTTATTAGTAGTGATGAAAAACTTTGAGCACGATCGCGAATATTTTGTGTTGAATTTATATTTAAATCGAATTTTAATGTTGGTTTAAGAGGACTTGATATTGATTGTTGACGAACACGATAGAATAACGTTTCATTTTCAAATGTTAACTGACGATTATCTCGTTCTAATTGTGCCAATTGTTCCTTTAATTGATCACGTTCAACAGCAGCAGCTCTACAAAAAAACATTAAATTTTGTTATTTGATATGATTAAAATGATCATTCTAAGATGACGACTTAATGTCGATATTCAAATAAATTTCTTAATCTTTATCTAATCTGACTGTACATATAATATTCTATTACGATTCATCAGAATCCTTTTAATTAATTTAATAGATTTATAAAGCTATTTTAGATCGATTAAAAATAACCTTAAATATATTCATTCGATTTTATAGAAAAATGGATTATTTATTGCAAATTTAAATTAATGCTCGTAAACTAAGTGTTTCTCTCATACAACAAATCACTAAAAATATCTTTTTGTTGACATGCTTTTATCAGAGAAAAATGATATACTGTAATATGAATACTTCATGTCATATCATTAAATGCACTTGAAAAATAAAAAGAAGATATAATGATATCTAGGTATATTCTATATAGATATTCTCATTTCTATTAAATTTACTTTTCATTTAATTGCCAATTTCGAAGAAGACAAACAAGATCTTGATTACGATTTTCAGCCATATCAATTCGTTTTTGTAATGCTAATTGATCTTCACGCTAAAAATAATAATTAATAGAAATAATATGAAAATTTTTCGATTGAATTATTTACTTCAAAAACTTGTTCATTCATTTTAGTTCTTAATTGTGTTAATTCTTGATTTCTTATTTCAAGTACTGTTTGTAAACCACTTCGATCTTTTTCTAAGATTTCTACACGACGTAATAAAGGATCAGCATATTCACTATTAGCCATTTCTTCATTAAATCTATCAACTTGTTCTTGTAATGATGTACATTGTAATTGTAATTGAATTTTTTCATTCTAAATTCAAAAAAGAAATATTTTAACGATATAATATAAAAATATATTTACCAATAATTGATCAATCTGTTGTTGATGATCAATAATTTGTTTTTTATGAAGTTCATTGATTATATCAATTTGTTTTTGATGTTGTTCATTTAATATGATTAATTCCTTTTTATGAGATGTTTTTAATTGTTCAATGACAGTCTATTTTTAATGTATATTTAACAGATATTTCAAAATATAAAAAATTACCTTTAATTTATTATTTGCAATTCGAACTAAAAAATTCAAACGGAAATAATTAATCTTTAAGAAATATGAAAACATACATTTCGATAATTTTAATTCATTTTGTTGTTTAAGTTGTTCATTCTAATAATCGAATAAAATAAAATTCAATTGTTTTTTAAATATAGTCTTACTTCAATAATATAATATTGACTTAAAATACACATTATATCAAATTGATCAAGTAGATATCGATATTGTTCTTTATTATTTTCAGATGATTGTGTTGCAAGTTTTTGTCTAAATATATAAATAATTTAATATATAAAAAATATTATTGTCAAAAAATATTTACAAATCGAATGTATTAAGACTATGAGAAGACAAATTCGATTTTTTATCTAAATAAAATCAAATATTATAAAAAAAAATAAAACAATATCTAACTACCAGATTGAGATATTGTTCGAGTTGAAGATGATATTGATTTTTGTTGATTTGATAATAAATCCGAATGACTCTTATTAATTGAATTCGTTGACGAAAGAGAAGAATTCAGTTCTGAATAGAATTATTAATCGAAACTCGTGTTTAATAAAAAACATTTTGTAGAAAATTTACTTGGCTGTGAACTTAATGAACCTGGTAAGTGTAATGAATTTTGTCTAAGCGTCGATGAAGATCCTTTTTTTGATGGTATTAATGATGACCTTCGTGTCGTATTTGAATTATTTGCTAATGTTCGTTCAGAATCTAAAGTAAAAAACGTT